GTCGCGGCGTTGAATGTTGGCGGTAGGAGGGGGTGCCATGTTCGTCCGGCCTCCAGGAGCGGCGACTTCGTGTTGCCTGCCGCCCTGCTGCTGCTGCTGTCGCGGCTTCTTATCATCGTCCCCTGCGTTCTGCTTCTTGTTCTTGCCCTTGCCTTCGTCGCCTCCGTACTTTTCGAGGAGCTCCAGGGTGGAGTTGTACTTTGTGGCGTCCTTGAGCTTCTGGATCGTCTTTGCGCGCTCGGCCTGCTGCTCCTTGAGGCGAGCGGATAGAGAATCGATGCGGTAGTTGAACACGGCCGTGACGGTTGTTCGCGTGAGGTAGATGCTGAGGAGGGCATGGTCAGTGTCTCATGTTCGCGCAGCCAGATTTCCATGAGAGAGGTAGAAGAACAACGTACAGGAGAGGGCCTCCAGCGACGCCAGTCCATTCTGAGGCGCCCATGTCGTTCCATCCTACCACGAGGAAGATGACGATAGAGTAGACGAGGTAGGCAAAGGCGAGGTATAAGGACCAGAGCACTCTGATGCGGCGGGAGGTGGCGCGCGCGCCATCGAGTCTCGCTTGGGTGTCTGTGATCTTGGTAGACAGCGCAGAAAGGGTCTTCTCGAAGGAGGCGGGGGAGGAGTCGTCACGCTGTTAATCGGAAAGTCAGCGGTTCATTCGATCCATTACAGAAAGCGCGCATCATGCGCATAATGAGAGGAGGTCCTAGGTCGTGGCAGACGTACCCTCCAGGGCCAGAAGGAGACCATGGCGAAAGATGATGCGGACGCGTGCCGTGCTCAAAGCGGCATGGCCCAATTCGAGGGACCGTAGCAGAAAAGACAGGGGAGAAGCGCAAGTCAAACAAAATGGAGTATGATGAATCGCGGCGGATGCAATGTTATGCGTAGTGAGAGATCGGACGAGCAGCGCCGCCGTATGTGTGGTCCTCGTGGCAGCTGTGGTCGGCGGGTAGAGGTTCGGGCTCGGGGGAGTCGAGAGGCTGAGGTGGTGATGGCCTGGGAGGGGATGAGCTTTCGCGACACAAACGATCCACCTTAGGTCTGGTGCCCACCTCAGGCAATTGGAGTCCGGACAGCTGTTAGGTTATGACGCAGCCTCGCAGGGCATCAACGAACAGCTGTCCCCGGCGCTGAATGAGGAAACAGTGGGTCCAAGCTCTCCCTGCCACCACTAAGATAGAGCTGTTTTAGCGTCCTGACAGCTCCAGGATCAAGCCTCAGCTGCCCTGTGGAATATCAGCCTCAAGGACCTCACCTTAATTAAGATACATGAAGGATGATAAAACACCATTAAGTGGTAGCCTCAACAACAAAACTCCTTAGAGTCAAACACATCCGGTCTATCTATGGTGGAAATATTGGGCTTCTAAGTGAGACGCTGGTCTCGGGAATATCCGTAATACATATAACGAGCCTCAATTGTTTCTCAAGAGTTACGTGATCAACGAATATCAATAAAAATTTAAGAAGGAAAGCCAGCGAAGAGATGGAAAACAGCTAAGCAATAACTAAATCTACACTTTTCTTGAATCGAACTGTGGCCATGTCTCATGCTCGCTTGAGAAGCTGCCTTCAAACAAAAAGGACCAAGGTAGAAACAAAACATGAACCAAGCACCGAGGTTCGGGATAAGATGCGTTTAGATAAGACTGAAGTTCGCTGCTAAGAGCATAAGCTACTAGCCGTAATCAAATAACCTACAATGTTCCCTCACAATCTCGCAGTGACGTGGCCTCAAAGAAAAGAAAACAAAGCAGCGTCAGGCTGGAGGCAACTGACCAATGCGACAAAAGTTGACTTGAGTCCTCGATAAATCTTGAACCCGAGACAGACTCTCATGTTGTGTGATCAAAATCGAAGCTAGACGACGAAATCACTATTGAGAATGAATGAGTCCACTGAAAGACTTACAATGACCATGGTTAGTCTCTCCGTCGAAGTCAATTTCAACGACCAATCAAGCCAGAAATCATCTCCCAACTCCAGTATTGCCGAATTACTCGGATGCTTCAATGTCTGAAATGTGCCATAGGAGTATCGAAGGACTCTAAGATTTTCCATATGGGATCTCCCGTACCAGCCAGCAGATTATACGGAGAACTGCCAAGCTCGCGAACCTCACCTCAAGTATCGAGCACAAACGAATATAAATCTCATGGGCAACTTGACTATCTACTCTATCCATCACCACCACCCAACATCACCACGGCCTCAACCTACCTTATACCGCCCTACCCAACAACATCCCACCCCTGCATAAAAACCTCCGCCTCAACAACCCCAACCAACCTCCTAAGCACCCCCAAAACCTCCTCATTACAAAAAACCTCCACAAGCCCATCACAACTCAACCCCCTCAACCGCTCCCTGACAACCCTAACAACAGCGACCTCCCTCTTCCTTTCCCCCTCCCCTCCCTCAAACGGCTCCTCCAACGCCTCCGCCAACGCAGCCTCAAAGTTCTCCCTTACAAGCGGTCCGATCTGTCGTTCTAGGGCAGTGAGGACCTGTCGACGGATCTCGTCTACCAGACGCGCGCGTATGAGGGAGAAGGTCTCGGTGACTGTTTGCGTTACGAGGGCGCGGAGGACGGCGTGGGGGTGGGTGTCTGGGGTTGTGTTCGTCATGTGGATGTCGCCGTCCATGTCGATGCTGCGGTGCGAGGAACCCGAGGAGGTGGCGGCGGGGGTTTGGGGCAGGATGATGCGCTTGCGGGGTGTGTTGTGGTTACTTTCTGGAATTTTGAAGTCCTGGGAAGGGCTGCTGCTGCTGCTGCTACTGCCACGGGGTGAAGGCGTCTTGGGGGTTCGTGGACGACGGCATGGCGTTGTTGTTGATGGGCGGGAGGCGACGTGCTCTGCGGGACGGTTATTCTGTTCGGCTTGTAGCTCTGCGAAGATCTCTGCTGAGGAGCGAGGGCGGAGGCTGGGTTTCTTTCCACGGGTGAGGGTGGAGGTGAAGGGTGGGAGGGCCTTGCGGTGCGTACCTTGGCTCATGTCGATGTAGAATGGGTTTGTCTCTGAGAGGACGGCAGGGAGGTGGGCGGGCGCTGGAGGGTGATCTGGGTTGGGGTTACCAGAGGGCATGGTAGGCTTATTTGATCTAGATGTTGTGAGTAGTTTTCCTGTCTTGGAAAGGTTCTTGTCATGGTGAGCTCTTTCTGGTGATGATGGAATAGCAAGTGCTGGTGGCCTAGTCGCCAGCAAGGTTGATATATGTCGCGAGCTTCGCAGCTGCTGGAATTTGTGAGCCTCGTCGTGGGTCACCGTAGATTCAGAGTATGTCGATAGTCACTACAGTCAAGATGAGGCAGAAACCACGCCAAGAGACAATCACTCGGCGATGAGTGAGCATCCCGGACTCATTAAGCCACTCCAGATCGATCTGTCAAGACATCCACAACACAACCATGGCTATCCGAGTCGTTCCCAACTAGGGCAACCTGCGCAGCCGAGGGTTCGCGTCACAATTGACAGACAAAACTATGCAATTCTCGACAAAGACATAACGAAACAAAAAAGGCATGCATGTCTTGACTCGTCACAAACCGTGACAACTGTGTCGCCAAACGTGCCTTGCGCGCCAACAACGTGCCAATGTGCGCGAGCTGCACGTCCTGCAGACCGACGTGGAGTGCTAGCCCCCCCCTCATCGCCACATCAAAGTTCTCCACGGTAAGCGACGTTAGGGCCCTAGGAGGGGATGTGAGCATGTCAAATTGACAGGCAAACATTGTGGAGGGCCCCTGGAGGGGAGAGCAAACTTCCAGCAAGATGCGGATAAAAACAGCCCGTCACATTCGCGCCGTTGGAAAGCATGTGCTTGTGACTGGATGTTGACAGGGGAGGAACAACAAGAGGAGAGGTAAAGGAGGAGAAAAAAGCAATTCTCCTGCAAGAAAAGGGACGAACCGAGACCATGCGAACCACACTCTGCCTCTGTACGGATAGTTGCGCACAAGTTGAAAGTCTGTCTCTGTCACTCTGCTGCCTGCCAGCGGTGCGAGTAGCCAACTCCAGCTGCAAAAATATTCCGCTCAAGGTTAACCCCCGCCTTATTTCCTCTCAAGACTCCAAGAGAGGTTTAGCTTCTCGGAGGACAAGAGCTGCAGGGTCCTCTTCCTACCACCTCAGCTCCTCAAACTAAGGCAGCAGGGTAGGTAGTCACGTAGTGTAGGGTTGAGTTGTCATGTACGACGTACTCCGTACGGGATACTGATATGCGCGTTTGCTTCTCAGAAGCACAGCACAGCACAGATCCTGCAGGTAGACCGCCCGGGAGGCCCTCCGCGAGTGCGTTGCGCCGGCCGCCGCGATGTGCAGGTCGTGTCTTGGGGAACGGGACGAGTATGCGCGCCGGTTGCTTGCTGATTTTCTTGCTGCACTTTTTTTTCTTTTCTTTTTTCTTCTCGGGGGGTCGGGCTGTCGTATGGTTACAAATGAATGCTAATCGTCATTGCAACTTTGGGTAAGTGATCCGCCGAACACGGAAGATGCTGGTGCTCTTTTCGGGCTCTTGGTATTTCTTCAATCGGCGAACGGTGGAGGGCGAACCGGGACCATCGGTTGTCCTTTACGCAAGTGGGAAGAAGAGGCGAGACACAGAGAGAATTGTATTCCCGAGGGTCCAGGTCCCGTTAGTGTAGATGGCGAGTGGAATTATCGGGATCTGGATGCGGTTGAAGCCCGGGCGGAAAGGGGGTCGGCGGCTGATTGACGGCCGATGGCAGGACGATACAATCCACATGCGATCCGTTGGTCCGCATGGCGCAAATGTGTCTCGCGGTCGGAGGTCTGCAATGTACCCGCTGGTCGCATGTATCGAATTTATTTGAATCAATTCGGATCAACAGCAAAGAGTCCTAGAAGCGGCAGGCAAGTCGCAGGCCGCAAAGCAGTGAGTCGGGAGGGTTGGAGGGAGGACTTGGCCAGTGGTCTAGACGTCACTCGGTTCGCAGATGCTGCCCGTTGTAGTTGCTGTCACTGCCTCTCAAGTTACAAGTGACTTGTGAGTTTTGACGTTGTATTCCCTCGGCGGAGAGGTACTGCGCAGAAAGGGAGAGAGTGCGACATGATGTGCAGACGGTGGCTAGGCCCGCGAGATTGGGGGGTTTCATGGTGGACGAAAGCTGGAGAGCTGTGCGTGTAAGTGAGGAGAAGCGAGCACGTAGGCACCGTAGGATGCGCGGGACTGCAGGGAACAGGGCGATCCGTAGCGGCGATCAGCACTGTCAAGTTGTCGACTGTGTTGGAGTCTATGTGATGCTTGCTGTACAAGTGAGTGTGAGTGTTGTTGAAATGCCATGTTGCTTGGGCAGAGATGGGTGTCAGCCAAACGAACAGTAGGGACACTATCATTACCAGAGCAAGTAGCCTCAGCTCATTGCAAAGTGTTATTGTCGCAAGCTTTCCGTGGCATCTGCGCTTGCACATGTCAACTCCCCACAGTGGAAGATGGTATCCACTGGGATGCCGTCACCACAAGGCCCAAAAGTGACATGCTGCTGACCTGCTCGGTTCGGATAAATTAAGAACAGAAAAAGAAAGGGAGAAAAAAAAGAGGAGACAGACAAGGACCAGGAATAGAGAGAGAGAGAGAGAGAGAGAGAGAGAGAGAGAGATTGGAGATTGGATGAGATGTTGTTGTTAGAATCAAAGATGAAAATGTTACGAGAAGACGGCCACTTTGAAAATTCAACAGCAGCACGGGAACAGTCGGGAGGACCTTGGTCATGTATTTCACCATACAATTACTGCGGTGACGATACTTGATGACTACTCTCACGCACGTCGCTCGTCCTATTGGCTCCGGTCTGGGCCGAGCGGGTCCTCCCCTGCCCTGGGGCGGTTGGTTCCTGCCTCGTTCGATTCCCCCAGCGGATGGGCTGTTTGTCAATTTTGGCAGCGACGTTCGACACTGCACGAAAATCAGACCACCTGCCTCCACCGCACAGCATTCACCGCACACCCCCATCCTCTTCCTACACCCCCTCCCTTCCTCCCTTCTCACCACCAAACAGCAACAATCAGAGACCTACAGCCTACGGAGTATACCATCATCAACACTGAACACTCCAATACGTAGTACACCATTGACCATTGACCATCCACCATACCTTGCGGATACTCCATCGTCCACCACCCATCATATCGACACTTCATCTCTCAACCTTGGAACCAACACTCGCCAGTGCTGCATCGGCGCATTGCTGCCCCTTCATGTCCCGCCATGCGCCCATTATGCGCTCCATAGACCTCCAACGTGCCATCCCACAACCAAGGAACCCATCAGACTCAGCCTTAGCGAACTTGGCAATCTTCCCAGGCCCTTCAATAGTATCAATCTCTCCATTGGTCTACTTACTCGTGTTGCTGTCTGCCGTGCCTCTTGCGTCGAGTTCCGGCGATGCGTGCGATGCGAGGCAGTGCGAAGCGATTACGGATGACTCGTTGCATTACCACCGCCGTCATCCGTCAGACTTGAATTACCGTTGCCGGAGACCGGCGGGCCCTTGCTGTTTCCAGACACCCAACGCCCTGGACGCGAATCCTGTACGCTTCGGCTCCGTGACTCGGCATCCTCGGGCCTTGACTGAGCAACACCTCGGTCGCAAACGTCCGCTGCTCTCTCAGCCCTGCCAACAGCCAATTCTTGATTTTTCTTGCCTCGCCCAATAGTAGCCGGGCAGTGAGAGTATCTACTTTTGCTAGGTACCTACGCAGTAGGCAAAGTATCTTGCTCATTCCGAGTGAAGAATACTGGCAGCCGCAATCAGTGTTGGAGTGCTCGGCAGCATCAGAAGCCGACCACTCGGAACGACTGGGGACTCGGGAGGGACATGACCGCCAGCACAGCGCAAATCATCAACGTGTCTCTTGCCTCTTGGGTCGAGTGGCCCGGCACGCCTCGAGGCATGGCGATGCGCCCGACAAAAGCTTCGAATCCCCCTCCTTCCCCCTTCCTTGTTCGAGGGCTGACGAGACTGGCGACACAGCATGCCAGGGAAGTGGAATTCAGCTACCTACCTGCCACTACCTACGTACCTATTCGTATGGATACCTACATTAGGTGTCGGGCTGTTAGTGCCATAGGGGCAAGTCTCAGTGTGGGTGGGAGGGACCCTGGAGATCTCGATCGTCTTCTGCCTGCCGCGGGGCCACCTGTCAAACGGTCACCCACAGGAACAGGAACGAGACGCAACGGCTGCCAGGAGGTAGTGACAGCTTCAACAGACTGTCGTCTAGGATGTAGTCACAGACCCGCGAGGTCCTGTCTTGATCGTCGACAAGATAGCGAGCAACGACGTCAGCCATGATCCCACCAGTAGTCTAGGGAGCAGCACTGTCCAGGATGTCGTTATGCACGTCAGGAAAATAACATACCTAGCTGCCTGCTTGTTTTGTCTGCCTGGATACACGATAATCGTCAATGGCCTCAAAAGCTCCAACAGGATTTACCTTTTCCATCCAATCTGTCAGTCTGGACCGGCCCCATGCGCCGTTTACGTCCAATTAGGTAATGCCAGACGTCCAAGTTTGAACTCGAACAGCTTCACGACTCGACACCTCGCAGTCTCACACGCCCCTCCTTCCTACCGTAAGGTCTTAGGTCCTCCCCATCTCGGTCAAGATGGACAAGATCTTGGTTTTGCGCCCATGGTTCTTTGAGCTTTGGAGTCTTGGGCGCATTTTGTGACAGGCTTGGGTTCCTCTGGGAAGGCCGGGGGTCACGGGGAAGGGGGGGGGGTCCCCTGATTCAGATGCATTCCCACATCCATCGCACGAGATGGAAGGCACGTTCGGCACCACAACCAAGGTTGAGATATCCGATTTCCAAGGTTTTTTCTTTGATCTTGCTTCGGATGAGTCGCCAAAAGATTTGAACCGCAAACATATCGTCAGGTTGCATGCAAGATGATGATGACGGGTGTCCTAATCAAAAGTAGACCAGATGATCGCTATGAAGGGAAAAAAAAAAAAAAGGCGCGCTCGCTTCCGATGAGATGCGCCCCCCAATGGCCCCCCAATGGCCTCATGGAAACGGTTTCCTCCCCTCAATCTCGCAGTACCTTGTAAATCCATAGTAGGCAGTTTAGTCAAGATGGGCGTTCCGCAGAGTTGGCGACGGGCTGCGGATGGGCAAGTGCCGCCAAGGTCCCGAGGTGCCCCTCCATCGTTCTATTCTCTTTCCATCTCGTCGTGTGTTGACAGTTTTCCCCCTTCCGGGATTTGACGCCAAAATACACAGTACACGCCCCCCCCCCCGAGTCTCGGGCACCCACCCCCTGGACCTTGTCAGCCGCTCTTTTGCTTTTTCCCGCCTAGCTTGGTCTGGAATTAGGCGTGGCAGCAGCAGCAGCAAGTATCGAGTACCTCTTCCTGAATCTCTCCCTCTCAACCAAGTCCGAGGTTTAATACCAGTAAGTACCTAAGTTATCATCTTCGTTTCGTTTCGCGGACTCGACAGGACAGACTATGAACCTTTCTGCAGAGGACCGCTGTGTTTATGGACTACCTACTCGTGTATAGATTCAGTGCAGGTCTTGCATACAACGCTCTAACATATGCAGCATACGCAGTAGTGTCATAAGGGAGTGAGAAGAAGAGAGAGAGAATCGGTGCAGGGTAAAGGACTCAAGGAACGTATGTGTGTACCATGTACCCGTACCCTGTACCGTACAGATGGACCCTCCTTCGTGCATGTGTCAAAGAGACTCCCCACAGCACCTCTCATGTCAATCATCAGTCTTTCCCACCGTCGGATCCGTCCGCCCGTACCATTCACACTCTGTCGCCTACCGAGTACGCAGTATTGTCGACTCTGTATCCATACCGAGAGTCGTGGAAGTACTTTGGTCACATTTTCCTTTGGTCAACCACCCCGTGCTCGTATGACGAGCCCGTCCATCGCCAGTTTTGCTCGCCGTTCCAACCCGCGCCCGCCTTACCATCACGCCCCCCATGATCCATTCCTCCTCGTCCACCCTACCCGCATCCCAGCATTCGGACCTCAACCCCGGCTCATGGCCGATTTTCTTGGCCATTGACTCTCTTTACGTCTCTTTACGCCTACGCAGCACCCATGCTTCACCATGTCTTTTTTTTTTCGACTCGCTTTCTAGTATATAGCTTTGCCGTCCGTCTTGTTGTCTCCCCACCTGTCCACTCTCGAACCATCAGCCTCATCTAAAGTAACATCATACCTTACTCCGTACAGTACCTTACCAATATTGTCTTCTCTCGCCATCGGCATCTCGACACACAAACACACACACACACATATCTCAACACCGGCCCCTCGTCAACTCACTTCCCGAGTAACGCCACCAGCACCTCGCATCTTCAATCAACGACAATTCCTCCAGACCGGTCCATCGTCAGATTCCCCCCCTCACCTCCCACACCCCAGTCAACCTACCCCTCCATGAATCGCACCATGGCTCAACAACAGTCCTTTGATTATTATCAAGTACCTCCGATGCCTCAATCAATGGTATGTAGTCTTTTCTTTCCTCCCCTTTAAACCAACCTGTCATTCCCGACTTACACACGACGACTTGACCCAATTGGCATCAAGTCTCTCTCTCACACCTGCATAACCGACACTTCTTCCCCCGGCATCAGCGCCCAACTAACACTGCATCTCCAACAGAGCCCACCGGAGCTGTCTCCGCTCTCCTTCTACGACACCCAAGCCGACTTCAGCGCAGACTCGGCCCCGTCCCGCGGCTCCCCCGTCTCCCCCGTCTTCCCGACCTCCTCCTTCCAGCTCCCCACCGGCGGCGACTGGCCTGCCTACTTTGAGAAGCCCGCCCTCTCCCCGGACCTCGACGTCTTTTACGGCGAATCCTTTGGCAGCCCAATGTCCTTCCTCTCCCCCCAGAACCTCACCCTCAGCCCCAGCGCCAACCCGTCCGACCTCATGTCCGACGCCGTCGCCTTTGGCCGCGAGGGCATCAACGACACGCAGCCCCTCTTCCAGACCCTCGACGCGCCCGCCCGCCCACAGCCTCAACCTCGACCTCAAATCCAGCAGCCCGCAAAGTCGCCCCGTCTCGCCCGGACGACATCCGCACCCTCCTCTCGTCCTCAACAACAGCCGCAACAGCGCCAACAGCAACAAACACAAACACAAACACAACAGCGAACCTCCCCGCGCACCAACGACCTCAAGCGCAAATCCTCCGCCTCCTCCGCCTCCTCCCGCTCCGCCTCCCCCGAACCCCCCGCCCGCCGCACAAAACACTCGGAACCCTCCAAGAACCCGCACAACATGATTGAAAAGCGCTACCGCGTCAACATCAACGAGAAAATCATCGCCCTCCGCGACGCGGTCCCCTCGCTGCGGTGCGTCGTCCAGCACACCGAAAACCCGCACGCCGCCGCCGCCGCCGAGAGCGACGAGGCGATTGACGTCGTCGAGGAGTTGGGCGGGTTGATGCCCGCGCGCAAGCTGAACAAGGCGACGATCCTGAGCAAGGCGACTGAGTATATCGCGCACCTGGAGAAGAAGAATTCGCAGCTGTGGAAGGAGAACGAGGCGTTGGAGAAGAGGCTTGCGGAGGCGCAGCAGTGGCAGCGGGCGCAGGCCGAGGGACCTTTCTGGTCTTGATGGGTTGAGTGTTGTCCTTGCGCATAGTATCGAAGACGAAAGCCAAAGAAAGAGATGGAGTGCATCATAGAAGGGTGTTTACAAAAATCCAACCATTGGGTAGATGGAAAGAAGGGGGAAAAGGCGCGAGGTTTTCCGGCAGTTGACACTGTTTTTGACGACTTTGGAATTCTCTTTTCTTACAAGGGCGTTCTCTTACGGTACTTGGCGGGGAGACTCGATGGGAAGAAAAGGGGAAAACTGGATTGTTTTTGAAATGTATACCACGGGGATGATTCCATCATCAAAGAAGGCGTTTTACGGGTTGTTTGAGTAGGGATATTTGAAGAGGGTTTTTGGCGAGGTTTACCTGTCACCTGTCAAAGAAGAGACCATTGCTTTGCCTTGGGTGGAAGATTCAGAGGTATCATCTAGGAAAGGTGACCTTTGGTTTACCGAAATTCTCCGCTTTCTTGCTTCGCATGAAAGATGCGAATAATGAAGAGATATTTTGAACTACATTACATGCTTTGGGGCAGCTGTCTGTGAGGTCGGGGTAGCCCGAACCCTCAGTTACCATTATCTCAGTTGGTGCAGTCAGCTGTGCAGTGACCTGTATTTGCGTGTACAAATCTTCTGAATCCAATAAAAGCTGCAACAGTCTTGGTCCCCTCAAGTGACCCTTTCAGTGATCTCAATACCTCGAGCCCTTTATCCCCTCGGAGAATCCATCAGCACCATTGATAAAGCTCTGACCCTCCCCGTGGCCAACTCTTCAAGGGCTAGCGATGCTATCGAGACATCTTCAGTGTCCCGTGTTCTCCCAGCAGCCCCATCTCCGAGATTCGGCAAACTCCAGTGGCCCAAGGGAAAAAAAATACGCCTCCAACCCCCCGACACGCAGCCCGCCTCACCCTAGCGCGTGTGACAGTCCACTACCGGTAGCCCCCACCAGCGGAACCGAAGACGTCGGCCGAGGCACGATCCTTCGGCTCCGGGGTGTCTTTTCGGAACCCGTGGTCCGGCGTGCACTACCTAGAAGTAGCGTCCGCCGCTGCGAGCAGGGAAGTCAGTCGAATGATCCGATGTGAAAGGGCTGTCCCGACGTGAAGTAAATGGATAGGGTTGATCCGTCTGTCGAATCACGGGGCAAATACCTCTAGTTACCAAAGATCATTGGCTAGACCACATATCTAAGGTAAGGGCGGCGGTGTTTACTATAACTGTTTTCATAGCTGTGAGGGTCACGTAGAGCTTTACTAGTAAATGGGAATGGACTCGAGCAAAGTTTTGTGAGATTAGTTATAGACGTCGGTAACATCTTGAACAGCGTGATTAGGAGCCAAAGTGAAACAGAGAGAGAGAGACTGATGCAGGACAGTGTGAATGGGCCTTTGCAGTCTGAGCACCATCAGCAAAGGTCCATAATCTGGGCCACTGGTGTTCAACAGACTATAGATACTAGTCGTATATATAAGAGCATACTACATAATGCCGGCTATCGGGGCCTGAGAAGAAGTACGAGTCAGAGAGAGCAGGGTCTGTGACTACACGTGAGTTGAAAGCAGGAGGATGGCTGGACCATGCTACGAAGATCTACTATAATGATGCCGCTGAGTGTTTCCTAGGGAGATCAGTTTTGAAGCGAGCGGTGGAGTATTGTTATCCATTTGAATGTATACTAACCGACGATTGAGTTGACCTGCTCAGGAGCGCTGTACGAGAGCCAACGTCATCCATCCACAAGGGTAGACGGGAACAATACTCTTGTCCGAAGAAGGAGGGTCTGCTCATTCGAAGCCTTCAAGAGCTTTCGTAGTTTTGTTCCATTTATTCTGGCTTTGAGATATCTCAAGTTTGTGCGTGATGTTCAAAGTAGCATGAGTAGAATCATTGTTGGCGTGCTCTCCTTTGTCCATTGTGTGGATGATAGGTTTTGCAGACAGCTTTCTCTTACTGATTCTGGGTGAACCCGAACACCGGTATGATAATCAAAGATGAACCATCCTGACTGCCACAAAGCCGGTGACAACCTCAACATGTATAAGAGAACGCGACCCAAGATGTGGGAAGCAGCTGTAAGGTACATAGCTATCAGCGAAGACATAAACACACACACACCACACCACACCACACCCGCACAGACAAGGATCAACACAACTACACACGCTTGAGACCAAGACGCGAAATGGATCCTCCTCCCAGACGTCTCAGACTCGTTCCCAAGGTCACCTTCATTCTTTCATCCATCGCCATACACTATCAGGTCGTCAAATTCGTTTACAACAACCATACACCACATGATCTCCTGAACCCGTCCCTACTCTTCGTTCTACCATGTACAATATTCATCATCAGTCATGGTCTTGGGGTTCTGAGACACCACGCGTTCATAATTGCTCTAAGAAGGGAATTCGGGGTGATTGGTCTCTGGCTATTTTACTTTTTACCAGTCCTCATCCAAATTGTCTTGTGGCTGAGGTTAGCACAATGGGTCACTGCGACAGTTCCATGGCTGATAATATCGGCATTCAGGCTGTCCCCCATCGTTATACTGTTGTTTCTCGCCGTCCAGCTGTGGAGGAGGACAAGCAGACAGACCCAGCAGTTCCCTGCGCGCGAGCATCGGCTCGTGGCGCAACGGGTGGATGAGTTAGCCGATGGGCCTATTCACGTTCCGATGCAGGAGTTGAATGACAATTGGACATTCTGAGATGCTGTTTGATCGTAGAAGACTGAGTTGCTGTGGGGGGGACGTTTCTCATACTACAGATCTGAGACATAATACCACCAAGTTTGTGTTAATTCTAGTGAGGTTGTTTTGCTGCAAAGGATTAGTCTGATTCATTTCCCCCCTTGTGAACAACTTTTTCCTGACGCGGACTGCTGTAACGCAGCGTTGTATGCAAAGCCAGATTTTCATACGGACTTCCCGTGGTGGTCGACGGAGAGAACCAGACAACAGTCGATTTGGGTGTGGATTTCGCATGACGTCTAGAAACCCAGTCTCGAATATCGTCTGGCGACGGACCAGCTGTCGGAGATCCACGACGTAACTACGTGCTGCGCATCTGATCCATCCTAATCAGAACCATGTAGCCAGTGATCGATCAGTGGCGACATACTCTGTCGTTCAAGTGCAATCGCCTCACTCAGTTGCTCACCTTGTTAGTGCTTTTAGATCTGGTAAAGATGGGTAAGGTGAGCCGGGTGAGCATGCTGGCATCACGTTTGCACTAATCTCGTAGCTTACTAAATTATGAAATAGTTTTCGGGTAACTCGATATCTACAAGTAGAACTTTTGGAGGACTGAAGTAGGAGCAGCCACATTGATTTATGCTCCTAGTATTTAAAAACTGGAGGTAACTTAACACTCCTAGGAATGGGGGTGGGAGTAGTCTACAGATCCCAGGATTCGGGATGCAGTTGTAGTTTACTGTTATAAGAATTCAGGCCTGACAACTAACTATTAAAATTACTTACCCTAGGATTCGGGAGGCCGCAGCATATTTTGTCCTAGGAATCAATGTCACTCGCAGGGGTACATACCCTAGGAATAGTAACCATATATAGTGTACGAACTCCATAACTAAGGCGTCCTTTACAGAACTTATCCCTATTCCTAGTGAGGGTAGACCATATTTGCTTAAAAATTCCGAGATTGATCTTAGTAAATAATGGCTGCTACCCAAGCAAATGTATGACAAAATGAGTGAAAACCACAGTCCGATCGACGTATCCAATTCTGCCTATTCCTTTGTTTAATTAAGCCTGATAAACCTTTGGGACATGCTTCGCACTTCTGCAAGGTGCTTGAGGAGGCGAGATGTGGTTTTGTGGACAATTAACGGCGAAGAACCACTCATCGTCCAGCCCTCAGGTATCCTCACTTGCAGTGCGTCAAGTATTCTCCCATACTCAATCTGAGCAGCGCCAACACGAAGATAACTTCCAGAGCCTCTTTCTTCAGACACCAAAACAGCAAAAACGGCCAAATTAGTGGCAAAGAGTGGCACCATTAAGACACCTCGGTCTTGAGTTAAACTTTTTATCTCTTCTTCAGACCCTTCTAAGTCCAAATGAGATCCACTTTGGACGGCATCATCAGTGACACGGATACCAGCCACTTCAAACTCAGTGATTGTATCCCCTGCCCACTTGATGGAGTCAAGCATCAGAGGGATACATTCTAGCTCGATATGGCCCCTAGCCTGAAAAGCTGTAGTACCTACTTCCTCAGACGTTGGATACGTTAGAACCGTAGCAAAATGCTCTACCACGTCTTCCGAACCAAAAGGAAGAAATATTTCCCCTTCCACAGCCATCCAAGACCAACTAGGGGCACGGTAGGACGTGCTGCTTGATGGCCATTTTTCGCTGTTGGTACCAGTACGGTACCATGCAAGATCGTAGATCAATGTGTTCTTCCAAGTCCCGGCGATGTATTCGTTTCCCGTATATAATTCCACCATTTTGGCAACGCCACTAAAGGCGATGAGCTTATCCGTTTCGTTCGTCAGCTCGCACCGGGAGTACTGGCCAACAAGGAAGCTCCACGCCTCGCGAAAGTGTCGGTTCGCGGGCTCGCCAGGTGATTGGTCTCCGATGAGTGCTGATCTAATCTCGGATTTGGATTGAGGCACAACAAAAGAAGGTAACCCGGCGGGGAACATCTCGAGCGCTGTGAGCTCATTACATTCCCATGCCAACTGTCGTTTCCCGAAATGCAGCACTCTTGGAGCAAGGAACCGTTCTTGAAAAACCCATGCCCTTTGTATCAGTGGAGTCTCCTCGACCTCGTCGTTCCAGATTTCGCCGTCGATAAGCCAGTAGGACTTCCTTAGTCCATCAACCTCCATGATGACTTTCGTGGGGCGGAAAACATCCCATGGCTGCGGGAGATGTAAAGACTTGTCCCCCTCTTCCCCGAGGTGAGAGGCAGATAGGTTGAGCATGGAATTCGAATAAACCTTTTCCATAAGCAAGGCTTCAGTTTTCCAGTCGGATAGGTCCCGGTCCTGCTTTATGCATAGAGAGTCAATCCAGAGGTAGTGTATTCCAAGACGCCAGGAAAGCGCAATTGAGTCTTGGAAGACTCTGGGAAGTCTGGAAATATCCACAAATAATTTGAATCGTTCGATATTGTCAGAAGATAATTTGTCGTATGGAAAGTTTCCCCAACGATGGCTGAGAGTAATGTAAGGGTGGAGCGGCGGAGTGTCCTTCGTCAAGATGAGCCTTGCGCTCTGGCCTTCATTGCTGATATGCAGTAAGCGAGTTGGAAACCATTTCTCGCAGTTTTGATTTTGACACCGCTGGTGATTCCGTGTGCAATTGCTCATCCATCTTTTAAGAAGCTCAAGATTGTCGGCGTTGCTTGTGCAAGGCATCATGACCAGACCACTGGGCTCCAAGTAGTCTAAATTTTGAATCAGTCATTTTGAGCTATGAACAAAGACCAAGTGTATAGGCGAAGTAAATGTACCTTCAGGGTCGAGTAAGTTAACTTCAATGAAACATCCGTGTAGAAGGTCAGTGTCGGGTGGGCAAAGACTGATCTGGAGAACCCGGGGGTCTACACGATTGTGCGTATCTCGGGTATACTGGCAGTCAACTAAAAGAAATCGAATCTCAAGAGGTTCTCGTTGCCATTGATCAAAGAATGCCTTGTGTCGATCTGACTGCAGCCATTCCGACAACTTAGAGCAAATCCAGCATGTTTCGGCAGATGATGGACTGTAAGGTGGATATGTGCCGCTGCTGAGCTCTCGAGAGTCTGCCCCGAGACGCAGCCCGCGAATTGAGTTGGCGCAGAGTGTGCATATCCCCATAAATGCTTTTAATGAGTGTCTAAACTCAAGATATTTGTCGCACGACTTTGCCTTGAGACTTCAAAAGCAAAAGCAAAAGGTTCAAGAGAAGGGCTGATCAAGATTCGGCCTCGCAGCGTCTTGGGTTATCAGAACGGATAAAAAGCACTAAAGAATCGATTACAAGATGCCGCAAAAGGGGACGGACGCAACTTCATAAATTTCCGCGCTGGAAATGCAGAACCGGCAGATCAACTAATCCCGAATACTAATGATGCCAAGCCGCATGGCATGCACCTCATCACATAAATGGACATTGTTGGTGGGTTTGTCATCTCCAACAAGCTCTCCGTCAGCAGCATACATATTCAGCTGACCCCAATTGACGCTCCGAAAGCAGCGTATAGAACGCGCGCTCGATGGAACGTTAAATCCGAGCGCGGCATAGGGGGTCAGGAACACTAACCCTACTCCTACACGCCCCTGGGGCCACAAACAGACTTGGCAGATACATCACAATATATACTGATTTTGACCCCCAATTCAACAGTATGAACTTAGAGCGGCGGGTGATTGGCGTGTACTTGAGTATTAACGTGGCACAATCTGTGCAATCGCCTCCACCAACTTGCTCGCTTTCACGTGGTCGCGTTTAACTTATTTGCTGGGGTGAGTACTCCGTAGAGGTAGGCTACTATCCCAGGATATTAATGGTAACGGTACCTATCATTCCTGGGAATCATGGGTGCCGCTCACTGTTCCTAGGAATAGCAGACCCCTAGCGACCCTGGCATTGGTCTAATGGCTATCCAGGACTAGTGTATGCGGCGCAGCGTGCTTAGGCACAGAGGGGGTCGAGCCCTGTCAACGCCCCTCAATCCTAGAAGCGGGCCCCTGTTGGCGGTCCCCAAATCCCAGGAACACCGACCTGCTCCTGAGAACTGTTGACGCCCCCCAGTCCCAGGAGCATCAAGCTCCGTAACACCCTAATCCTAGGATCAGTAAACTGACCCTTATTAGCTCCCTCTCAGATTCCAGGAACTGCAAGCTGTTTCCTACCTTGAATCCTAGGATCTGCCCTTCTTAGCATACCATGAATCCTGCTCACCCGCTCACCCCGATCGCGCGGTCTTACGACGGCGGGTGATCCGGCCGCACTTGAACGATAGTGTGGCACTCGACTAAGTAAGCGTCCAAGTGCTGATGGACCCCGTATCGATAGTGTGAATAATGAAGTAGCGGTCATGCTCACTATCCAGCGAGCTTATCTCTCAGGTTCGCATCAAATTGAACTCTCGGTCTCTGAAGACTCCATGAGATAGCGATAGGGCAGCAGCCGTGGTCTTTGGGCTTGGTCTCGTAGCACCCGAAGCCTAGTTTGTGAAGCGGCAAAACTTGGTGCTTACCTTACTTAACTAGTCGTTGCATGTGTCAATGTCACCTCAAGAGAGCGCCAGTAAATACATCGTACACAAGCGTTCTGGCTTACATCCGAGTTGTTGCAGTGGAATTCCTGCGCTCAGGCGTGTGTGAACGTTGGCATGAGACCGACTATCGAGGCCTGTATATCGGCCCCAGGCTGCGAGTTCGTGTACAACCCGTAACGAGGCTATTCGGACACCTTCCAAACACCGGCCACGCCCAAAGATACTGCATAAAGACGTCCTACGGGTGACAGAAAAGTTGCGCTTTCTCGCAGTGCCAGTCGGCAGAAAGTGCATCCTGAAGCAAGCCTTGCAAGGAACGAGTAGTTGGATTCTTTCCAGACCGGTCACCGCTGCAAATATGGAATGATAGCCTTCTCGATGTACAAGAGTTTAGTTCATGTGTGGCGTAATCCAGCAAGGCCCGTCCCGGACCGTTAACTAAGCCTGAGGTCCCTTGTTCGTACATTAGAAAGCAAAGTCAAGTTGAAGAAGCGAGATGAGCGTTTCACATCACAAGAGAATATAATGATCACATCTGAATCCACGCCCATGCCCTAGACAATTTCCGTCTGATCGTTGCAATTACACTAAATCTAATGGATAGATCATGGGCTAAACATTCCTAAAGCGGGTAGGTATTTCCGCCATGCACCGCGTAAATCCCACCTTGTCTGAAACTCTCTTTTGACGACGCTCACCAGTCCTTAGCAGAGACATGCCTAACACAGAGCACAGTCGCAGGTATCAAGCAAGAAAGGGGTCTTTTGAGACTAGGTTGGACAAAGCTCTGCATGGGTGGCAAATGAAAGGACGGCTTGCAAAACTGATCATTGGCGAGAACATATTTGTCTTGGAGGTGTACAAAGTCGTGGCTACCTTTGTGAGCCTCTACAAGTTACGCGACGCCTCTTCATTCTGACTCTTGTAACATCTTCCAATATTGTGTCTTGGAAGTTTGAGAAAATTGGAGGTTAAGGAGACGAGGTCACTGTATAATCAGCTCGTAGCCTTCAATGAACACGGTGATCAGAAGAAGTAGTAAATTCGGATGAAGTGGGCTTCGTTCTTCTGATCGGATTCGCCCCTTGACAGGGGCATACCAATGACTATGAGCTGGGCTACATTTATTCATGTTTTCAGCAATCGGAACCTTGAGGCGGTCTACTAGCTGCCATATTACACTGCCTGAATAGGCGAACCTCGTTCTCCGCGAAGGCCCCAACAATGGAGTGCATAACGCCATGGTTGTTGAAGAGAACGAGGTCACCCTCCTCCCAATCATGAGGATACACGTATTGCGGGCTGATTGCTGGTCGTTGCAGTCTGTAAATCAACTCTCTGACCTCTTTCAAGTCCTCCATTACCGTTCCATCCTTAAGATGGATCCTGCGCGCCGGCGTCGGGTACACCATCATGGCAAACTTTCCCGTTACCGGATTCTTCCATGCCATAGGGTATCTCCTGATCTTTTCCTCCTCAATCTCTGGGAGCTGATCTTCAGATATCTCTAGACCTTCTGAAAAAAGACCTAGGCCATTTGACCTCGCCTTCGCCCTGCTCATCCAGATGTACGGGTGTGGGCTGTACTCGACCGTGCTGGTCTTAACAAACTCCTGATCCTCCTCCGATAGTAAGTCAAACATGCGGTATCCGCTGATGAAAGCTGTCGTTCCCAAGGGTACTTCTAGCTCGTCTCCAGTCCCGTCGTCGTAGCGACAGATCTGCCGCCGCCCCTTAGGTACCCTGCAAGCAAAGAGTGATGTGACGAGAGGCGGGTCCAGGTTGTACATGGCCGAGTCAATGTGCCATCGGTAAAAGTGGGTATAATCGTAGTCCTCAGCTTCCGGAATAGGATGCTTATGAAATGTCTTGTGGTGAGGGTGTGTGAGCTTGAGATTCTCCAGTCCTTCGAACTCGACTACTGCGCCGTGGCCGATGACTTGCACTTGCGGCTGAGATGGCAGGGTGGTTAGATCCTTGTGGAGGACGCTGCGTTTGTCGATGCGGGAACCATGGCTGTATGTGCTTGCTTCAGGGTCGAATAGGCGGGTGAGTTCGTATTGGGCTTTTGGTGAGAGGTTGTGCTGGCCTTTGATCAGGACAACGTTGTTGTTATAGAGGGCTTCTCTGATAACTTGAAAACTTTCATCTACGCATATGGTTAGCTTGATGAGTGTGTTTGCTTCTGGACACATACACTTACCATCGATGTGTTCGAGATCAATCCCCGAAAGTTCGGCTCCAAAATCGACAGCTGATTTCTCAAACGGCTTGGGAAGAGGGGAAATCTCAACTCCTACGGCTGCCATGATAAAATTCAGGAAAAAGTAAGCGATGATTCGTGTTCAAGGAGTTGGATTGAATATTCCCTGAAAGAGGGACACTTGGACTTCATCACCGTATATATATCAACCGAAACGTTCTTTCAGAGATGCATCTGGCTAATGCGGGCGAGTTGCACAAACTGGCCCGCCTCTCTGTGTGCCCGGAGATAATCGACGGAAACAGTGTTTGGACCATTCCTGTGCCGTGCGGGTGACATGAAGGACTCGCCCGCATGCATCTCATTGCTTGGCCAATGAGAGACTGTGACAATACGATTACTACGCGTCACTGTGTGTTACGTGACAGGAGAAGGACAGAACTGGCGATGCGGAAGAGCGTGTTCAACTCACCCGCTCCAAATTGGCAGAAAGTTTAAAGTCGCCGATGTAAAGGTAAGACTGGTTGGCTATAAGTTCATGCGGCTACCCGGGCTCATGAACGGCTCATCAACCAACAGACTCAATCAATTCTATTCTTTAGCCCTGTCAACTTCATCGTGTTGATCATACAGTTACAATGGGCAGCCTAACTTCCCCATCTCAAGGACTCTCCTTCAGGGAGCTCCCGACCTCCCTTCGTGAGTCTTCTTTGATTGGGGCCGAAGTTCACCTGCCCTCATCAATGGATGTCCTGGACGTAGACGCTTTGTCAGAAAAAGAACTCGAAACCTTCAGAAGAGCCCTGTTCGAAAACCAGGTCGTGGTCATCAAGAATCAGACGGGCATCGCGCCTGAGACTCTGCCTAAGCTGACCAAAGTCTTCGACCCGACTGCGACTGATATTCATTCTGCTGGCGAGAAGGCCGTTAGTGACCCCAGGAATATTCTTTCGGCATACAAAGCAGGAAGAATTCCAAGAGCACCGCAAGTAGGCATCATCGGCAGCGGCAAGTTTAAGAACTATGAAGGAGTTGAAGAGTTGGAGGTGATCCATCTGGTATGCCTGAAGCCTATCGTTGATTAGCTAATTAATCGAATTTTGGAAACCGCAAGCCATTGGCGATCTGAGCTAATAAGTCCGGCCAGGATCATACTTTGTTTCATGAGAAGCCTCTGTCGGAGGAGGAGCTAGGCAATGGATATACCCGTCCATACCGGTGGCACATGGACACTCCCTTCTACCAGCGTTTGCCTGGCGAAGTCACCATCCTTCACGCGGTTAAGGTGCCTAACCTGCCTGATCAGAAACTCAAATTTCCAGACGGGAAAGAAAAGAGCATTGCTGCTGGATCCACAGCCTGTAAGTCTAGTACTAAAATTCGCACTCTGAAGACGCATGATTGACCTTTTCGTCAGTCTTCTCCGGGGCCCGGGCATTTCAATTGCTGACCCCGGCTGAGCAAGAGTTTGCTCTGAACACGACTGTAACATACGCTCCTCAAGCCTATGAATACATCAGACAATGCAAAGCGACGGAAGACGGATTGTCAATCCCAACAATGGGGAAAGAGGTTCCCATAGAGCAACTCTCTGAATGGTCTTGGAAAAATGTTGCCGAACATCCCGTAAGTCACCTAATTCTATCTGGATTCTTCTCAACGTTGTACTGACAAGCCTCAGATGGTCTGGCGCAACCCGTTGAACCCCGACCGACCATTTCTCCAGGTTCATGGTTGCTGCGTATTCAAACTGACAACTCGGGATCCGGCGACGGGCGAAGTAACAGTCGTAGATGATGTCGCCAAAGTCCGCGAGATCGTCTACGGCTTCCAGAAGAGGATATGGGCGGCAGAGAATATCTACGCTCACCGGTGGGAGGAAGGTGATGTCGTGATCTTTCACAATCGCGGCGTCATGCACAGCATCACAGGACAATTGTCTCAGTATAAGGAGGACGAGGAAAAGAAGAGACTGATGTGGCAGTGTACGATGACTAGTGGCACGGCGCCGCAGCCGTTCCGAAAACAGCCTGGGGTTGTTGAGACTGGGTTCGCCAAGGCGGCATGAAGATTAGAGCTAGTCTGTACCCAACTAATTCAAGTCATAATAACTTGCTGTGTCTTTGATTGATTCGATCCTCTTCAAGAGCATCTATTTATCCTTTCTGTATGAGATTGTCTCCCCTAAACAGAGCCGGTTCCCGCCGCCTACGGTCAACCTTGAGATCAAATACGTCTAGGCGTTGATACCCGCCAACCACATCGTGGTACTGCTTTCCCTCAACACAATCCCCAACATCTAAGTCGGCATACAAGATGCCTTCTTCGTGTTGCAAGAATTCTGACGGGGTTTCTCGGAGAGTTCCCTCTTCAATTGTAAACCCCGGCAATAATGCGCCCGTTGAGTCCAAGAACATGGTCGCGCCCCGTGGCGAATCTCTCAGCGCTTGGGAGACCACGTCTTCTTGACTCGCCCCCGAAGAGACAGACTCAATTGCATCCTCGCCCAGTACTCCTGAGCAGAGAACACCAAAGCTTTTAGCCTCAAAGCAGTGTGCAGCCGCCCTCGTCCTGTTGGCAGCAACATTGTCATAGTTGGCCCCTTTAGCCACGCTTGATCCCACTCGAGAGCTTGTCTCCTTGGATTTCGGAACTCTCGTCGGCCATATCGCAGGCCATGTGGAGATATGAATCTGCTCTCCCTGCGCCATGAGCGCATACCTCGCAAGCGGGTTTGTGTTCTCCCCGCAAATGAGATTCCCAATCTTCCCAAATCGCGTCTCTGCGACGCGCAGGCCGTAGCCATCTCCGGGCGCCCACGTCAACTTTTCGAAAAACGTTGGCATGAGTTTTCGGTGATGGACTAGGATCTCTCCGTCAGTACCGATAATGACGTTAGTGTTAAAAAGCGTCGCGCTGCTGTAGCGAGCCTTTTCAGAAATGCCGACGCTAAGCAGTACGTTGAGCTTCTTTGCCGTGGAGCGGAGAGCGTCTATCTCTTCACCGTCGATGTGGACGGATTCCTGCACCATGGACTTGAAGAGGTCATGGTTCTCAAAGGGGGCGCGCAGGGAGGACCAGATAGGGAACGCTGGGATGTAGGTCTCTGGGAAGACAACGAGGTTTGCTTTGTTCCTGGATGCTTGGTCAATGAGGGAGATTGCCTTTTCGGTTGTGCGTCGCGCGGAGAGGAATATAGGCGAGACGTGGCAGGCGGCGACTCGGATTGGAGTGAACATAGTCGCGGGGGAAAGCTGAGCTCGCGCAGGTTGGTCTAGAATGGGCAAGACACCGAATTGATGGCTCAATCAAATGCGACGCTACTAAGATACCTGATGATGGACGTCGCTTGATTTTATTCAATGGCTTCAATTCGGTTGGCACGAGAAGTTGGACTGATGTGTCTATCTCTCGGGGCTTTTTCTGTTGCCGGCGGACCACAGATCCTTGTTCCGCTTACTGATCTCACGCAACTACACTCTTTAATAGTTGCATCTACCAATACCATCACGGCGTTCCCAAGCACATCAGTTTTATAGGCCAATGCAACAACATCTCATCATTTATTTTTCATCATTGGAAACATCCACGCGTGTTCCAATGTCCTCAATCATGCCAACTCACACTCGATCAAGCTCTCTACGCCTTCACCCGCTGACCAAATCTTGGCAATCTTGAGACCAGCAGGTTCCAGAAGCTTGCGCCATTGCTCTTCTGTTCGCTCCCTGGAACTAAAGAGTGTCATCATCATCATATCCAGCGCCGTAGCCTGCCAATCAGCCCCCGTCGAGGGAATCACATTCTCATTAATGAGGAGCTTGCTGTAACCCGGTTTCATTGCCGCAGTGACGCGCGACAAGATGCTCCTGCAAACATCATCCGTCCAGTCGTGTAAAACAGAGTGCATATAATAGGCTCTTGCGCCTTTGACGGGCTGCTCTGTGTGGAAATCGTACGACATGGGCTCAATCTTGGGGTCAACCTTCTGAACTTGGAATAGTACGTATTCAAGATCTTGGAGGACGTGTCGGCCCGGAGCAGTGGGATGCTTTCGACAGAACTCGTCTAGATCGTGGCCGATGCTACCGCCAATGTCGACCAGAAAAGCCGCCTCTGATGAACTGTCTGCGCCTTTGACAAGGCGCTCTGAAACAGGGAAAAATCCATCATCCATCCAGGAAGGGCGTCCTTGCCTGTATCCGGCCATATGGTTCTGGAATTCTCCGGCGGGATGATTGGTCATCATGTGCTTGAAGAAGTTGTTATCTTTACCGATGACATCCTGCATTGGCCCCTCTCTAGGGTCCGGCGAGATGGACCAGTCGTGCTTTTTGAGGTAGAGGGGGAAATTCGAAAATGTCGGCCAGCAACTTTCGACGCTAAGTGATGTGACAGGATGGTCAGTCCATAGAAACGGTAGCACAACGAAGGAAGAGTGACTTGAAGCAATATTACAGACAAGGATATCCGCCGGCTATGATCGGTAAACTCAGCGACTTGGTGAAGTTTGTGCCGGCGTACTCATCCGGGCCAACTTCCTTGAGGTATCCCATTGAGCAGAGATGACGCAGTGTGCGAGAAAGTACATCGATATCAAAACGAAGAGCTTTGCCTAGATGATCCACGGTCTTCGGACCAGGGTTTTGGGCCAGGTACTGAAACAGGCCCGACTCAATGCCAGTCGCAATGACGAAGGTCACAGCAGGCTGATGGTAATAGCAACTTAGCAAGTACTCCCATAAAACGAAAGTGAATGTGGAAGGCGATTGTCCTCACCTGAGCCCAACAATGTTTAATCATCGTCTCTCTTGGGGTCTCCAGCGCCTGTAGCAGTGACCGGGCCTGCTTTAGAAGGGCAAGACGACCCTCTTCATCGTCGAGGAGAAAAGATGTACCAAGAGTGCCGATATTGTTGGCTAGGTGTGCTGCCCTCTGGGCATCGTTGGCCTGGGTAGCGATTGAGTTGTCCAAAAGCGTCTTTTCCGGAATAGAACCCATTTTTTAAGGATTGGAATGGTCAAGTTATTGTGGCGATGGGAAGTCTGAAGATTGAATGAAAGAATGCCGCCAAAATCAAAGCACAAAGAAGGAAAGGGATATATAAATGCAAAGCAAAGGATTTGAGAAACCCGATTTACCCAAGAAGGACCACCTTTGCCTTTTCCAACATGGAGGCGGCGGTTCTCATGTCGATTCTGACCACATAATCCTGGGGCTGTTGCTACCATAATTGTCGGTACTCCATTCTGTAAATTGCGCTCCTAAATGAGAAGTCTTGCGGTCGATTGAAATTCCTCGCTGGGATTATCTGCAACTCTGCACTAACGACGACAACAAACAAGTCTTGGGCTATTCAGCGTATCTGGTGATACCGTTGTGGCATGGCTCCATACCAAGACCTGTGCAAGGGGCGGGGAGAACGGGAGACCCAAGAATCAGGTGAAAGCAAACATTCTTTGTCAAGGATGTAGTGGAATCTCTACCCTGGCGACGAATGAGAGTCTTGTGTTGGTGTTGTTTGTTGGTTGAGTGCGTGCGCGTGCCCGGGTCCTCGGGCTGTTGGTTCACCCATGCTGGGAGGAATACGAAAGTCTTCAATACGATCCTGCAGTTTGTCGGAATACATTAGTGGGAACTTGGGAAACTCGAAAATTAGTCCTTTAATCACCGTTCCTTGTCAGCCGAACTGAGATTACCGCCAATGGCGGTGGAAGCTCACACATGATATTCGCCGAGGTGTCATCGATGGACTGATTGAGAACGTTTGATGCCGATAGGAGAAGGGGTGACTGCGCATTCCACATGTCCAACTGTCGATCGCAGTTCGAGGGACGTTGCAGTCTTCAAATAATCATGAATCTAACCCTCTGACCGAGGCTCAGTATGGAAGGGGCTTGTCTTTTCTTCCTGGCAACCGCGTATTACAGGTCTTCTATATGGTGGCTGCCGGCGCCGACTTTTCGATCTGTCTTTGAGGTCTCCCCTTTGTTCGATTCGTTGTTGTCATCCTCCTCGACTTTCTAGAGCAATGTCCGGAAAAGTGTCGCTCAATCGAAATGCCGAAGACAAGGGCCCTGTGGCACTTGGCATTGTCATCTCTATGTTGGTCCTCAGCACCCTCTTCACCGCTGGAAGACTCTTCGTTAGAGGAAGAATATTGAAGCAGTTTCATCTCGACGACTACTTGATTGTCGCGTCTGTAGTAAGCAACATCTCAGCTTCGATTCGACCGTCTCCAATACGACGTATTGTCCAAGATTTCCCAGTTGTTGACGATCTCTGCTCCAGGTCTGTGGATGGACGAATGTTGGAACAGCTATCGCGGCGGTGGCGCATGGAAATGGCCGGCATTTTGATGTACTAACACTCGAGCAGAAGTCGGGAGCGATACTCTGGACCATTGCTGGCTTTCCTCCTGGTGTCATGTCTTTTGGACTCCCGAAGCTTGCTGTTGTCGCGCTCCTCACACGGAACATGAATCCCAGCAAATGGCATGCTCTTTTCCTGTGGTTCATCGCCTGTTTCTGTCTCATCAACTTGATTGGATGCGTAATTATTCTTTTTGCCCAATGCCAACCTTCTCACTCGCAGTGGGACTTTTCAGTCACAGACAAGACGTGCTGGGACAAGTGGATTCTGGTTTACTTTGCCATCTACTCTGGAGGTGCTTCATACCCGATCTGTTTCTGTCCTTTAGAATCCTTTTCCTGACAGATTATTTAGGCTTCTGCGCGCTTGTAGACCTTTACTTGGCCATCTATCCAGCCGTCGTCCTCGCGAAGCTACAGATGAGCGTGAGAAAGAAGGTAGCTCTGAGCATCGCTCTTGGGATTGGGTCAATGTGCGTGTTGAGGCTGAATCCTTTTTGCTTCCTGATGGCAACCAAAACTGACATTCTTGACAAAAAGCTCATCGATCGTTGCTACATACAAATGCTCTCGGCTTCCAAGTCTCGCAAGCTTGGACTTCTCATGTGAGTTTGTTGGAAATCCCGCTTGAAATAACACGCCGAGTCTAAACTAGTCGTGTGATGTTTTAGATGACATTTCAGACTTGGTGATTTGGACTATGTGAGTTAAGCAACTGTCCTCAATGTTGATAGCCACAATGGTGTGGTGAGAACCTGTGCTAATTCCCTTTGCTAGAGTCGAGGGCAGCACGATGATCATCGCCGCATGTATTCCCGTACTCCAACCCCTCGGCGACCTCATCTTCGGCAAGCGCATTTTCAGCTCTGGTGGAGGACGGTATACGTATGAGAACTATGGTTCGGGTCCGAGTGGTCAACATCGATCTGATATTGAAATGTCTCGATCAAAGGAAGTGAAGAAAAGAGTAGCTAGAAGGCAACATGACGCTGCTGCGATCAGCTTTGACGATAGGGTAACAACAACGACGGTCACAAAGGGAAGTCAAGAGAGCATCCTGCAAGGGAAAAACATGTACAGAAGTATTGTAAGAACGGACTTAATCAGCATCAGTATTGAGTCGAGCAAGCCTTGATGTTAGCTCAATTCCTTCAAATACATAGTTGCAGTCAACATCCGACTCTTGTTGGGTGAAGTGTTCTAGCAAGTCCTGTATTCACCGCCAACAAAGACAAAAGCGTTTCTAAACAAGACATTGCCTTCAAAGACTAGCCCTAAAATTTGCCGAGTTCATGCTTCTCTTAGTGCTGTTGATCAAGCATACGCATGGCTTCATGGCGAAGGTCACAGCTTGCTGGATACAACAAGCAACGTGAGGGATGCTCTCAATTCTTCTGTGGGTGTTTCAACTTCCTCGCGATTCCGATTTCAACTTTAGAAGTCTGTGATCAAACTAGGATTCATACACAAGCAGTCAGTTTTGGCACTACCTATCCATGAAACTGCCCTTTACGCTCTGAACCAGCCAATGCCGATTTTCACTAGTATTGGAATCTCCATCTAGGGTCCTTGTCACCGGGCCAATCCTCCAAGTCCCCAATTGCTTGAACTTCCGGTGCAATAGCCTCGCGTCTTTTATTCTCACCCTTCAACACAAAGTATAAGATACCACAGACGATGATATTCGCCAAAAGATACCCCAAAGCGAAAGAGTGGCCGACAATGTACCTCGGGCCATCATTGGCACGATACAACTGTGTTCCCAACACAGCCCCCAAATTTCCAATAGTGATTTGCATTGCGTTGCCTACAGCACGCTTGGTCTGCCCAGAGACATTGATGGCCGGCCACGAGAGGACGAGAGCGGTGGCGGGGTAGATTCCCGCAGCTGCGAAGAAGGTTCCGAGGTACGAGACGCCAGGCTTCTCCACGGGGTCGGAGTTGGCTAAAAGAATGATGTAACCAATCGCCGCGACCGCGGATGATCCCATGATGAAGAAGGCACGGCGGCCGGTGCGTTCGGAGTAAATCGCGACGGTCAATGTTGTGACAAAGGCGACGGCGTAAGGAGGGATAGTGAGCAGTTGGGCGACGGCCGCGGTGTATCCGAGGTTCTTAATGATGGTAGGCTAGGCAAAGTCAGTGAGGTGGTCCACTAAGTTTGTGAGAGTAACTCACAATGAACAAAGAAAACGTGTATAGCGGCAAGCTCATGGTGTGGAAACCAAGACCGTACAACCAGCACTTTGGGTCCTTGATAGCATCCATCACATTACTCCACGAGAACTTCTCGTTATGCGTGGCATCGCTGTCGGATGCTAATCTGGCCCTGATAAAGCGGCGCTCCTTTTCAGAAACAAACTTGGCCGTGTCGGGGTAGTTCTGGATGAACCAGTATGCGCCGACAGCAATGACCACGGTTGCGATACCCTCCTATCAGATTGTCAGGCAACGTTTCTTGATTTTCAATGGGGAGGTCACAAACCAAGATAAAGATCCATCTCCAGCCATTGTCCCATACAACTCTCATGTGTCCGATTCCCCATGCTAGGATACCGCCGAACGCACCGGCAAGAGAGGCAGCGCTGAAGAAGAGGGAGATGCGGAACTGTCTCTCGCGACGCTTATACCTGAGGAATTTCAGGTCAGAACTATGCCATCCTTAAGCTCCTGACATATTAAAACCTACCACATCGAGAAGTAGTACACCACTCCAGGAAAGAGACCGCTCTCAGTGACACCGAGGAAGAAGCGGGCGACAAAAAATCCGGCCATATTAGTGACGATTCCCATGAGCGTCGCGACAATGCCCCATGCGATAGTCAGTGTCGGAAGCCAAAAGCGTGGAGTGGTCCTTTTCAAGATGATGTTGCATGGAATCTGGAACGTTCAGCATTGCACGAACACATGTCTCTTCGGAACATTGTTGTGGAAGCACTTACTTCAAAGAGAACATAACCGATGAAGTATAGAGTTAGACCAGTCAAATACTGGTTACCACCTGTCAAATTTCAGCTACACCGGTTCGGTCTTGACCGATTTTGTCTGATTGAAGAAGCATACTCATGTTGAGATCGGTAGTAAGGCCTTCAATTCGAGCATTGCCCACTACGTAGATGTTAGTAGATTGTCTCGCAGGAGGGTTTTCTGGAGAATCTCACCATTAGATCGGTCGAGGAATGAGAGAAGGTACAAAATGCCCACCGCCGGCAGAAGCTTGAGATCAAGCTTCCTCAACAGCGACTTCTCATTGACTACATCCTGCTCAAGCTCAACTTCAGACGGGCTATCCGTCCCGCTGATATCATTCGCCGGCGTATTTAGCGCCTTCTCGGGCGGGGGGTTCTTTGGCGCGCTCATCGTAGGTTGCTGATATTGTGAATTCTCAGATTCTCTCTCTAGCGCTTGTGGCTATTTTGTTTGCCTCGATGTTGGAAGAAGGTGAGGTCCCAACTTCACTCGGTACCAGAAACACCCGCGCTTGTCCGGCTGAAGTCGAGTTTCTAAGGTCGTTTGTGTGTTTGAAAAATAAACTCTGCGGCCACGCGCACGGCTTATCAATGCGGACCCCAAAAGACCCGGACCAAACTGTCGGAGCAGACCTCTGCACGAGGAAAAACGAGATTGGCGAGTAGATTGCTCGAGTGGGCTGGTTTCCTTTCCTTCTTCGGGTGTATTGCCTCGCTTAGAGCTTTTAGCTACTTGTCGTCCATTTTGACAGCGGTTTCTGAGTGTCGTTTTCTCAGGGCCCGCATGGCATCATCAGTCAATGATGACATTTTCCCGGAGCACCATTCCTGTAATTGCGTAGATGCCGTTGCAGGTCACCACTGCCGGGTGGATGGCGCCAGTGAAGGTGGATGGTGAAATTCGTTTGCGAGTTGTGTGATTGGCTCATTTGAATCACCTCATGTTGAAGTCGATGGCGACATCGCCGACTGGGTCTTTTTGCTTTCTCCAACGGCCCCCAACATGGCAAGTGTGTAATGAGTACACGGGGCATTTCCTTTTTAAAGTGCCTTGGCTCTGCTTGGCAACTTTAGAAATGAACCCCCCACGGCCCGTCGATTCAGCTAAAAAAATCTTGTTTCTCCGCGCATCTAACGCTAGACCGCGGCTTGCATCTGCGGTTTCGGGAGACCATTCGATAATGGCGACTTCCATCCGACCCTACGGTGCCGATCGGTCGGCAATACGGCTCCGCTCAACAGTCCGTCGCTCCACTTTTTCCCCGATTCCCGATCTCGGCCCTTTCCGATAGCAGTCGGCCGATGGTTGCGACCTCGCAGACGGCAGACGGAATCGGAAGTAGTCTTACTTCTCCTAACAGATCCGATCCTTTTCATTTGAGCTGCCTGTAATCCTTTTCAAGGTGACTGCCCGAAATCAGCTCCTGCCAACCAGCTAGTGGCTGAAGTGATTGCTCAAGTCTCTCAACGATGGTTTCTCAGGTGAGTATCAGAAAGGCATAGGTCACAGAATGGCACTGGAAAAGTTTCCCAACTCGAGTCTATTTTGCTGCCTACTATACAATATCCTTTTTTTTCCTTTTTCTGTTGTTCCTTTTCTATATCCAAACGAATGACTGTTCCGAAAAATCGAGCTAAGAAAAAGTGCATACCAAAAGAGTGTTCTATCCATGACCAACCAGGAAAACCATTCATTCATTCACAAGCGTCTGTTGTACCCCATTCACCCAAAGATCGAAGTCCCAAGAGGGGGATTGTCGAGTTTTCCGTTCCGATGTATACAAAGCAGAAGTCGTTGTGGCCAACCACGCTATGAGAGAGTAGAAGAGTAAAGCACTACCTTCTGAGCCAACTCGCCGATTCGAGCCGCGTCAAGCGAAGGCACGCCGTGGAATATATCGTGATGCTATGCACATGTGTGCATTTAGCAGCCAATGTCGAAGGCGACGAAGGTCTGACCGTTGGTAGGAGCGGGCAGGCTGGAAGCCGGGACATTGAAGAGGCGGCACTGGACCGGCTCGTTGGCGGAGGGCTTGCCGAACTCGATGGCCTGGCATCCAGTGGTCTGCTTGCAGAGAGCCAAGCAGGCGTCCTGGGTGGTGATGTCCTCACGGCTCAGGAGAGGGGTGGGGCTGCTGGTCGCGGGGCCGGCGGGGGCGGCGCCGCAGACGTTGGCACGCTTCTTGGGCTGCTGGCCACCGTTGTTGTTGCTGCCAGTGTTGGCGTTGCCGGTGTTGGCACCAGTGTTGGAGCCGGTGTTGCCGTTGTTGGCGCCGGTGTTGGTCTGGGTAGGAGCGACGGTGGGGACGCTGGTGCAAGCCTTGTCAAAGACCATCAAGTTGGTGTTGGACTGCTTGGGAACCTGAGAAGCCGGGACGGCGTAGAGGTAGCAGAGAGGGGTGGTGCCGGAGGGGGGAAGGCCGAAGACGAAGGACTGGCAGCCAGAGTCGGCCTCGCAAAGCTTCTGGCAGGCGTCCGCGGTGGCGGCGGCGGGCTGGGAGCGGGGCTCGACATTGGCGGTGGTAGGGCCGGAGGGGGCGGAGTTGCAGACATCGCGGATGGCGAGGGGACCGGCCTGAGCGGCGGCGGCGAAGGCAATGATGGTGGCGATGGTGAACTGCATTTTGATTGTTGGGGGTGGTTGGGAGTGGTTCTTGGAAAAGAGGTGTGAAGACTGAAGTGTAGTAGAGCGAAAGTGGTGCTGAGAGAGCGAAAGATGGAAGAGTGAGAGATGCTTGAGAGTGATTGAAGATTGAACTGGTTGTTGGTGGTGAGGAGAAAGAGAAAGGTTTTGATTTGGACGGGACAAAGGTCTTCTTTTATGGTCAAGTTGAGCTCTGCGTTTCGAAGGCTTCTCGACTCCCTTTTCTGAGCCTGACTAGACACTCGACTGACGATCTACGATAGACTGGGTACGTCAATGGAGAGTCTTACGACGCATTGCACGAGCGTCTTACACAGCCAGTCTCCGGAACGCGTGGTGGGTGAAAGTTGATGATCGACGTCCCGGATGTCACTCTGTCGACGTTGATGCCCTCGTCATCGCCGGGCTGGGTCCAAGGAACGGCCTTCGAGAACCAGTGAGAAGGTCTGTTGCCGTCCCATGTTCGCTTCGCTAACAGACTTTGGCAGTATGTTTGGCGATACCACAGCCTCATGAGATGGC